CCAGTACGCGCGGTATCCATCCGGGCCATCCAAGTTGAACTTCTTTTCGTCAGAGAAGACAACTTGACGCCAAAAATCCATCTTTGCCATGTGCTTTGCAGCGAAAGCACCACGCGCCTTCTTGTAATGCGGCTTCAGATACGGCGCCGGCTTCTTCTTCGCGTATTTGATGAACTTGCCTGATTTCAGCACGTTGAGCACAGTGCGGGCTGTAACCCCCACCGATAGTATCTTGGCGCTTTGCGCTGTTGACAAGTTTCGTACGATTGTGTTGCGGTAAATGCGGCGTATGTCACGCTTTGTCAACATCACTCGCCTTCCTGACCGCTTCTTCGTACCGTACGTGCCTGGGGACTTGAAGTACGAACGCACAAATGACTCAGGTCGTTTGAGCCGACGTCCAATCTCACGATTGGATATCTTGTTGTCCTTCCAGGCAAGAATTTGGCCCATTTCGATGCCTGTGAGCTTGGGACCCCTTGGCATGATACGCAGTTGACCAATTTTGTCATGATTCGTGCCACAACGTCGCCTATTCATCGGCCAAATCCCCGCGTCGTTTTGATTGCGTCTTTTGACATTTAGAAAATTTTAAACGCAGTGCGCATATAAATATTTCCGATGCCTCAGACTGGGTCAATTCAACCATACTATATGTTGGCAAATTCAAGCTCACGTATGTATGGTACTGAAGCAATTTGACTTGGAGGTATACCCTTCATGGGAATCAATCTCCGAAGTCTTGGTGTACTGTACTAGTATTTTTTATCTGACATTAATCTCAATATACTGAAGATTTCAATGTGCGCATATACTAGTAATTTTTCGCGGACTGTATCTCCTTCCACGCGACACGCTGCTGCGAATTCACTTAGCATGGGGTGTCCCAGCTCGGTGACGTAACTCTCACGACGGAGCTCGCTCGGGGTGACGGTAGCTTAGCAAGTTGCAGTGCTCCTGGTCTTTCACGATCCTGGTGAGTACAAGTTGCATATCGGCGGCATGAAGTTGGTATGCGGTGGGTGTCATTGGTGGCTGGGGCGTGGTGGGCCAGGGCGTCCGCTCTGGCCCTTGGCCACACCTCACAAGGCGCGGGGGGGCAAGGTTGAGCATACCTTAGGAGGGGTGTTGGGTGGCTGGGGCGACAGGGGTGCTGGTGGGGTCTATTGGATGGTTCTTGTCATTGATCAGGACTCCCTCTTGGAGGAAGCTGTGCGCACTTCAGTGGAATTGGAAAACTGAGTTATATGGATTCATCTTGTATGCTACGAACTAAACTCACGCACACGAACCAGCGTGGTCGTCCGTCGATGGCTTGATTGAACTTGGTCATACAAAATGGTAAATCATTGAGAGACCATGGTGATGGCTAGAAGATGCCGCAACATCATCTTCTACGCCTGTCTGGTCGTGGAACTAGGCCACAGGACCAGAACAGTCATGAACATCTACTGGTGTCATTCAGCACCGCCATCGATCTCTCGTTTGCATATTGCGTTCTATTCAACGTGGTTGATCAAACTGCACAGGACGGTTCCATCCATCAGTGGACGTCGGTCGGGTAGGGACTTCATCTTGACCATCCGTTTGTTTCCGAGTCCAAAAAGGTTGAAACACGATATGTGTATATTCACGCAGGTATGGACATGCACTGACCGTTCGGTCCAGTGTAAAATTGCCATGACGATTACAAAACAATTTGCCATTTTGGCCGCAGGTTGTCGTTGACCGCCCTACAATCTGTCAGGAGCCGACCCACATCCTTCAAACGTACTTGGTGAAATCCGCTTGGGCAAACTCGGCGCGGTTCCGTCCTCCGTTCATGCTTTCGTCCAGGGCAAAGCTCAAGAGCAACACATTG